GACTCAACGTCGCCATGCCGGAGAAGGAAGATAACATCACCACTACCGTCGGATCCGACCAGGAAGTAATCGACACCTTCAATGGCGTCAAATTGAGGTGGGCTCTCGTCTGTCGCCAAGTCCAGAGGGAGAATTTCTACAACCCTCGATCGCCCTACACATCCGTGGTCCGATCTTTCGAGCTCTGTTTTCACAAGAAACACAGGGAAATGGTCCTCCGATCTTATTTGCCCTATGTTGTGCAGCAAGCCAAAGAGTTGAAGCAGCAGACTAAAATCTTGAAGATCTTCACCGTCGATTACGAGGATCTTTGCGGCAGCATCTCGGATTTGTGGATTTCGGCCAATCTTGATCACCCTGCCACGTTCGATAAGCTTGCTATGGATTCTGAGATCAAGGATTTCATTCTGAGGGATCTTGAACGCTTTGTGCAGAGGAAAGAGTTTTACAGGAAGGTGGGAAAGGCCTGGAAGAGAGGGTATCTGCTTTACGGTCCACCAGGAACAGGGAAATCGAGCTTAATCGCGGCAATGGCCAATTACTTGAAATTCGATGTGTATGACTTGGAATTGTCGGAGCTCCAATATAATTCGGATCTGAGGAAATTGCTAATGGGAATGGGGAATCGTTCGATTTTGGTGCTTGAGGATATTGATTGTTCGATCGAGTTTCAAGATCGACAGGCTCAAGCGAAAGAACCATCGTCTCCGACCTCAAGATCAAGAAAAATAGTGACATTATCGGGATTGCTGAATTTCATCGACGGGCTGTGGTCGAGCTGCGGCGACGAGAGGATAATCATATTCACGACGAACCACAAGGAGAAGCTGGATCCGGCGTTGCTCCGACCGGGAAGAATGGACGTTCATGTTCACATGTCGTATTGCAGCCCTTGTGGATTCAGGGTATTGGCGTCAAATTACCTTGGGATTGAGAACCATAAATCGTTTCCTGAGATTGAGGAGTCTATTTTGAGCGCAAAAGTGACTCCGGCGGAGGTGGCGGAGCAGCTGCTGAAGGGCGATGAGGGTGACAGTGCACTGAGCGAGTTGATTGAATTTTTGAAAGTCAAGAAGATGGAAAATGAAAAAGAAGCGGAGGCGAAAATCCGCGAATTAGGTGAAATGGAATCTCGAGAAAAGAATAAAAAGAAACCAGAGAAAGAAGGGGAAGAAGAAGGGAGCACCGGCACCGGCACCACCATTGTTAATACATCGAACAGTAATGGCAGTAAGCACTTCCATTACCGTATTCCTAAATCGGTGTTTTAGTTTAGGGCTTTCTATTGCTGTAAATAAAGAATTGGTTTCTGTTTCTGATCCTTAACTGACTTCAATGATGAGATCACGAAGAAGAAGAATTTCAAATTGATATTTTGTATTAATTTCAAATCAATATCCTTAATTTCTTCATGCTTTTTTTCATTTTTGGTTCTTTTAATCAGAAATTTCCCTTCTTCAATCCTCATATGGTTATTTCAAGAGAAAAAACAGGAAGCGGGCCACCGGAAAGGGGGTCGAATTGAGAGTTTTTGTTGATTATTATTAAAGAATGAAAAAGATAGTGCAGTTTTCTTTTCCCAAATTTAAAATAAGTGATGAAACAAATATAACGGACTCAATTTCTTTCTCTTTTATGCATTTCTGTTAAAAGGACATTCTTGTAGTTAGAGTTAACTGAAAGCGAATATAGTTAACTAGTAATCTAATCAAATCCTTAGACTCGTGAGAAAATCACGAATTTGAATTTTTCTTCTTGAATTGTTAAGGCTAAGTTTTGGACGAGGTGACATGGCGAGCGATTATGGCCAAGTAATCTCGTTGAACCGAATTAAAGTATCGAGGAACTATCTCCTTTGCGTGAGGTCACTTGTACGTCCAAACTCAACACCGATGTGATACTTGACCAAATGCACTCTACAATGTAAGCTAGTACTTGGCAAAGTAAGTTGGCAAAAAGTTGGATGTAAGATATTACATACGTGGGCTTGACTCCACTAAGATGTAGAGATCCGAGTCGTAGATGTCAAGGCGAGGCTCATATGTGAGCCTACAAAATAAACCAAGATTTAAATATATATATATATATATTATATCAAACTTATGGAGTTTGAACTTATGATTAAGTGGATCAAGTGGGGTGAGATAATCTTTTAACCCCATAATTATCAAAATTAAAAATTATGGAAGAACGATTTGTGAATTTCGCAATAATGCTTGCATGCCTAAACTTATTAAATAATTTAAACGTTTTTCTTTAAACTGTTTGTACCAAGAAAATTTAATTTATTAAAATAAATTCACTAAATATTTCGTATTGTATTATCTTTTCCATATTTGTATAGATAATTCAATAGTATTTTATTTTAAACAAAACTATAAAGACATAACTTTTAATATTTGTTTTACAAGAATTTCAAGTATTCCTATAAAAAAAACTAAAATCATACCATTAAATAGCTCTCTTAAATTTTATAAAATTAAACAAACAAAAAAAAACAGTTATATTGTCGAAATTTGTTTGAATTTTATCCATTCCAGACAAAATTGATGTTTTATAATTCGCTTTACACACAATCGCTCTATCAAATCATTCTTAAATTCTAATCAATTTTATTAATTTAATTCAGACCTAATTTAGTCTCCCTTTTTTTTGCTCTATCAAATCATTCTTAAATTCTAATCAATTTTATTAATTTAATTCAAACCTAATTTAGTCTCTCTTTTTTTTGTTTCGACCCGACAAAAAGCATATAAATGACGAATAATATTTCAATCGATATGAGATAAAAAATAAAATAAAGCTAAGAAATCTCAGAGTGAATAATATCGTACCATTTTATAGACGTGGAGAAATGATAAAGAAACAAGCTTATAATTTATCCTAAATGAAAATTTAATATCTATCCATTTAAATAAATGAATGGAAGAAAGCAAAAGAAGGGAGACTTGCTGTTGTTTAGTCAGTCAACAAAAGATGACCAATTCCTCCACGGCCATACCTTGGTGGACACGTCTCACTCCTCTGCTTCTCAAGTCTCAACACCAAAATTTCAATTCTTCTCAATTTTGTAAAATTTAAAATCTCAATTGCAAAGACTCGTGGAGGACGACCTCTGCTCCATTGTTGGTCAATCTCATCTTCAATGGGGCTCCGATGGTTCCTGGAAATGGCCTCACCTTCTGTTATCTATTTAAACATCTCCATTTCTGCTCCACTCTCTGCCATCGCCATTTTACCTTCAAAGCTCTTTCTTCTTTCTTTCTTCAGCATCAGCCATGGCCTTGGACGGCTCTACCGCCGAAGCAAAGCTAGCAAATGCCAAGGCTCTGCTTACTGCCGCCGCCTCCTTCGCCGCCACCGTCGTCCTTGCTCGCTCCGTCGCCCAAGACCTCCTTCCGCCGCAACTCCGAGAATATTTCTATGTTGGCTTCCGGAACATCTTCAGCCGCTTCTCCAACCAACTCACCATGGTGATTGAGGAGATGGACGGCCTCGGCCCCAATCAAATCTACGACGCCGCCGAGACCTATTTGGCCACCAAAGTCTCCCCCTCCACTCACAGGCTCAAAGTCAGCAAGCCCGAGAAGGAGGATAACATCACCACCACCATCGAATCCAACGAGGAAGTAATCGACATCTTCAATGGCGTCAAATTGCAGTGGTTCCTCGTCTGTAACCAAATCCAGAGGGAGAATTTCCACAACCCTCGTTTGCCCTACAAATCCACGGTCCGCTCCTTCGAGCTCTGTTTCCACAAGAAACACAGGGAAATGATCCTCAAATCCTATTTGCCCCATGTTCTGCTCCAAGCAAAACTGTTGAAGCAGCAGACTAAAACCCTCAAGATCTTCACCTTCGATCCCCAGCACATGTACAACCGCTTGTCGAATTTGTGGATCCCGACGAATCTGGATCACCCTGCCACGTTCGATAAGCTTGCGATGGACTCCGAAATCAAGGGTTTCATTCTGAGGGATCTTGAACGATTTGTGCAGAGGAAGGAGTTTTACAGGAAGGTGGGAAAGGCCTGGAAGAGAGGTTATCTGCTGTACGGTCCGCCAGGAACAGGGAAATCGAGCTTAATCGCGGCAATGGCCAATTACTTGAAATTCGATGTGTACGATTTGGAGTTAGCGGAGATCCAGCGGAATTCGGATCTGAGGAAATTGCTTATGGGAATGGCGAATCGTTCGATTCTAGTGGTGGAGGATATTGATTGTTCGATCGAGTTTCGTGATCGACAATCGGAAGGCGGAGAAGAGGATGATCCAGAATCTTCTTCATCGAGAAGAAGGGGACTGGTGACGTTATCGGGACTGCTGAATTTCATCGACGGGCTGTGGTCGTGCTGCGGCGACGAGAGGATAATCATATTCACGACGAATCGTAAAGAGAAGCTGGATCCGGCGTTGCTCCGACCGGGAAGAATGGATGTTCACGTTCACATGTCGTACTGCAGCCCCTGCGGATTCAGGCTGTTGGCGTCAAATTACGTAGGGATTAAGAATCACGAATTGTTTTCTGAGATCGAGGAATGGATTCTGAGGGCAAAAGTGACTCCGGCAGAGGTGGCGGAGCAACTGCTGAAGGGCGGCGACGGTGAGAAAGCATTGAGCGATTTGATTGAATTTCTGAAAACCAAAACGAGGGGAAATGAAGAAGCCGAGGCTAAAATCCGTCAAGAAAAGGAAGGGGAAGAAGAAGAAAATGGTACAGGGACAGTGTCCTGAGGACTGAAGTCCGCCATTGATAATATATTTGAACCTCTCGGACGAAGTAGCCCATGAATTTACATATTTATCCCTAAATTTCAAAATCTCACCAAATGGAATCTGAATTTACAATTACAATTACATGTTAATGCCTAAACTTCAAAATATCATTAAAATATCTTTCTGAATTTCAATATATCTCCTATCTCACTTTTTTGTTTACACAAATACTAGCTGATGCGATAAAAGATGGTACATTTTGTTACGGCAAAATGCATAATTTCACAAACCATTCAATTCGTGGAATGTAAAAACTCTATGGGAGTGAGAGAGCTCCCATGAATAAAAATAACAGTCCACAATCAAAATTAAAAGAAAAATTAAAAAAATGTTAAAAGATTAATAAACTATCATTCAACCCGCTTAAACTGATTCTTATATTGAATATCTATCATCTTTGGGATCGAACCATTGACTTTTTTTTTTAATACAACATGTTGGAGAGGGAATTCGAACTTATATTCTTTTAGTTGATTGAACTATCGACTTTTAAAGCAGTAATAACTGCTTTATATATTAAATTATGTTTTGATGGGTAAAAAGGGTTTATTGTTAAAGAAATAAATGAGTGAAAGAGAAGGACAAATGTGATTTTTGTCTATTAATTATTATTTTCCATTTAATATCTCAAAAGTCTTCTAATGAGTATTTAAAAAAATAAAAAATAAAAGCCTTTTGCTCAAGGTGGTGAAGGCTTGTACTAACTTGACGTTATTTTCTTTTCATACTATTGTTTTCACGCTTTTTTTTCTTTTTGAGTACAATACATAAGGATTGAGATTCGAACTCACGAACTTTTAATTGAAGATAGGTACTTTGACTTATAAAACTACATTCGAAGAGACATCTTCAAATTTATTAATGTAGTAAATAATCTTTTTCACCTTGAGTGGAAAAAAAATCAATTTTTAAATTTTCGAATGGTCAATTAAATATATATTTTTTTAGTACAAATAGATTGGGAAGGAAATTTAAACTCATAACCTCTTTTGACTCATGAATGGTCAACTAAATTTTAATATCTCGATTTCTTTCTTTCTTTGTTTATGGGAAACAAAAGACTAACATGACTATATGAGTGGGGTGGATTGACCTAAAAACAATTTGTATAGATTTTTTTTTTTCCTTAGTTAAAGAAACATATGGGGTGATTGTGAAGAGTGAGAGAACTTTTACATATTTACGTGCTATAATGTCTATTAACTCTATAGTTTTAGTTAATTTTTATTCTAAATTTTCAATTTCATGAAATTGCACTTTAAATTTGAACAAATATAATAATTTCCAGCTTAAATTTATAAAAATCTATTTCAATTTTTACTTCCTAATTAAATTTATTTGAAGAATCACTGAAAAAATATTTCATGTGCACCTCATGAGACATGAAATATTACATGCATTTAGTAAGTCTTTGTAGTTGATGTTTACATTAATCCAACTTAATTTTGTATGAAACTTGATTTTCATTAAATCAATGAATTTTTTTTATATTTCTACATCTTTTATGTTTAAATTGGTAGGTTATTAGTAAAAAAATTAAAACTCATATCTAACTTTCTCTCAGTAATTTAGCGGTAAAAATTGAAGTTTTTTCCCTCTCAATTTAAACCCTAAATAATTTACTTTGTTAAGCATCGTTAATCCGTGTGATTCTGTGGCGTAGTTCACGTATGGCAAACCAATTGAGAAAATGGAAGTCCAAATATGGAACTCCAAATCCCTGTTAATGGAGTCCATCCTGTTGTGGCCATTCCATAATCCATCATCGGAATTAAGTCGGAATATGTTTACATCCAAAGAAATGCCGATCCCCCAATCGGCGTCCGCCGTGTTCTCCGCCTACGCCTCCTTCGCTACCACCATGATGCTCGTCCGCTCTGTAACCAACGAACTCCTCCCCCCAAAATTCATCTCCTTCCTCTCTTCCATTTTCTCCTACTTATTCGGCTCTGTTTCATCTCAGACCAAGTTCATCATCGAGGAGAATTGTGGAGTCACCGCCAATCAGGTGTTTCAAGCCACCGAGATCTATCTCCGCACCAAAATTGGCCCCTCCACCGACACCCTCAAAATCACCAAAACCTTCAGGCAAAAGAAACTCACGTTTTCCATCCACAAGGACCAGGAAATCACCGATCATTTCAACAAGATTCGGCTTCAGTGGCGATTCGTCTGCTCCAAAGACAAACGCAACGAGAAGAAGCGCCATTTCGAGCTCACATTCGCGAAGAAATTTGGGGATACAGTTGTGGACGAGTATTTGCCTTACGTGATGCGAAGGGCCAGGGAGATTCAAGAGGAGGAGAAAGTAATTAAGATCTACAGCCAAGAATGCCAGTTTAACGATGATTACGATGAGGGCGGTCGGGGCAGCTGCGGACGGTGGGGGTACTTGAATTTCGACCATCCGGCGACGTTCGATACGGTGGCGATGGACCCGGAGTTGAAGGAATCCATAATCGAGGATTTGAATAGGTTTGTGAGGAGAAAAGATTTCTATAGAAAGGTAGGGAAGGCTTGGAAAAGAGGATATCTGTTGTTTGGTCCTCCTGGTACGGGAAAATCAAGCTTGATCGCCGCCATGGCTAATTACCTCAAGTTTGATATTTACGATTTAGATCTCTCCAGCGTTTACACCAACAATGATCTGAAGAGAGCGATGCTAAGCACCACAAATCGGTCAATTTTGGTAATCGAGGATATAGACTGCAGCATAGATCTACAGAATCGGCAGAGCGACGAGGAGGATTATGGCTGTGCCCCCACCAAGGTCGGTTTTATCAGTATACATTTACTCTGTTTTTTGCCCTAATCTGGATTTGCGAATGCGAAATTGATAGGGGAAATTTGCAGATTACCTTGTCGGGAATGCTTAATTTCATAGACGGATTGTGGTCGAGTTGCGGGGACGAAAGGATCATCATCTTCACAACGAACCACAAGGAGCGATTGGATCCGGCGCTGCTGCGGCCGGGTCGGATGGATGTTCATATAAACATGTCGTATTGCAGCCGTCGAGGGTTCGGGGTTCTGGCCTCCAATTACCTCGGCGAGGAAGCGACTCAGCACCGGCTATACGGAGAAATAGAAGACCTAATCAGAGACATGGAGGTATCTCCGGCGGAGATCGCGGAGGAGCTGATGAAGAGCGACGATTTGGATGTTGCTCTCCAAGGTCTTTTCAATTTTCTGAAGCGTAAAAAGGAAGAACAGACTGAGGCAGAGGAAAGGCCAAGTGAAAAGAATGACCATAAAGAAGAGGAAGACCAATGCTTAGCTGCTTATCAGTCGACACCAATCTTTTGCTGAACGGCCTTCAATTTTCAAAGTAAAAAGGAAAGAAATGATGTTTTTTTTTTTCACATTTTTCAAAAAACTAGATAGATATTAACATTTTATTTGTGGTCAACATATGACCAATCAATACCTAAGTAGTTTTCAAAGGCGAAGTGGAGGGTCCATGTTTGAAGCATGAGACCGATGCCATTTCTACAAATAGAAAGGTAGATTACAAGTTTAGATCTAAACTCCTCAATTCCATTTGTTTTGTGATATTCCATAGAATGGCATCTAAATTTATGGGATTGTTTGATAGGAATGTTGAATACCCGACATTTTTAGATGTGCAAGTATCTTAAGATGGTTGTAAAGCAGTACTTTTTTAATGTTCTCCTGTAACATGGGTTTTTAAGATTTCGATTTCTTCCTTTTTCCCATAAAGCTTCCTTTCCGGAATCTTAGCTCTTCTCTTTCTTATTTATTAAGACTACTATCACTTTAGAATGATAAACCGAGCCTACTGAGAAAAACCTTAACGTATCAGGATCGTACGTCTGGAACAAAAAGGTTCACCGTACAATTTCGACCATTACAAAAATAAAGGAGTGTATCCCTCTCCCTTAGTGTCTTTCCACTTCCGTCGTTCGGGAACAAACACTTCGCCCAATTCTTTTGAATCCTGACCCAGTTTATCTGCACTAACCAATTAATTACGTTACGATCACTGGACAAACTTGTTGAAGGCATCTTATTTTGACAATTTTATCCCTCGTCATTTTTATTCTATAATATTTTTTCATCAATAATATTTTTTTCATTTATTTTATTTTATTTTGAAAATAATTGTATACACTAATTCATTATAAATGTCTAAATACAATTTTATTTATATACTACATTTAGATATAAAATAAGCATTAGTCAATTGTTTAATATCTTAATTTATTTTTAATTCAAATCTAATGTGTAATATTTCATTTATTTTACTCTTCCAGCCAAAGATAAACTAAAATTGAAATAAAAATATAATAGTAAATTAATAAAATAAAATTTTATATGAATTAAAATAATAGTAAATTTAATATATAAATTATTTGATGATCGGTAAGGACATTTTTAGAAAATTACAATACGACCCTTATAGATCACTAAATTTTAAAAGTTTCTAACAGGTTTCTTAACTTTCAATTTTATATCTTATAACTCAGCAATCTTGTGTCTAGGAGGCCATGAAATTTAAATGATGTATAAACACTATATTTACTAATTCAAAAACTTCTATATGATTAATTAATCGAACATTTCATTTAATCGAGAGAAAACGGTAAGAAGGTTATCGGCTTTTCTTGGAAAAAAAAGTTATTGGCGTAATGTAGTTCTAAATATCGGTAAATTGACATTTTCATCATAGTACAAAAAAATCAACAAAATATGAAAAATATCAATAAAACGTCACTAATATATGAATAATATTAATATTAATTATTTTTAACTAATTTAAAAATAGTAAAATGTTTATTTGATCATTTAAATACTTTTTACAATTTTTTAAAAAAATTTATAACTTTTACATCCTACATTTTTATCGATATTTTCAACCGTATTTTCATGAAATTTTGACTCGATATTCAAGTTCAAAAACTTGACTGTGGTTGACGATAGAGAAAACAAAAGTTTGATCGGTAATGGCGGTGGTCGTGGTCCCTGCCTTTTCTTTTTACCCTAAATGTCATTTAATAATTTCCAACTTGGACGGACCGATGATCTAACTTTTCAGGTCCAATCCAATTGGGACAATACTGACAAAATTATAACGTTACATTTTTAATAAATAAATATTAGTTCTTTTTAGTATAAAAAATATGAGGGGCAGAAGTTTGAAATTCCAAATTCCAACTCTAGAAAAAGTACGCCAAAAAGAAGGAAAAAAGTCTAGAGAAAAAGTAGATGTTTTGATATCGACGGATAAATATTAGTTGTTTGAGAAAAATATAAAAAAAAAAAATAAGCCACAACGAAAAGTAAATAGGAATAACATTATTCTAAAAAGTGGTATAAGATTAATGATATGTAGTTCATTAGATTGCAATTTTTGGTTTACGCTAAAAAGACCCAACCATTAAAATTTGATGACTAAATTTGTAATTTCACTATACTAAAATAAAGTTTTATTTATTTATTTATTAAGACTGTTATGGTGTTTTAGTTAATGAATCAAGTTTAATCTAAAATTTTTAATTTAACTGAATAAAGTATTGAACTTGGATAAGCAATTAAACTGATACCTTATGTTAATTGCTTTTTTTTTTTCCTTTTTGATGTGTGGCTAGTTTTGCTACAACTAAAAGAAACAAAAAATTCGGACCAGGGTGCCTAGTTTAGGGTTGGTGACATTCAAAGAAAAGTTAAGAATATGCCAATTCAACTTATATTTAAATTTAGTCTCTATCATATAAAAACAAAACTTACTAAAATAAACAACGTAGTCCGATAATCTTTTTAATTCCTATGGGAACGATAGGGTCTTTTCGTTGAAATAAAAAAAAAATATGCCAAACACTACATTTTTCTAAACGTGAAGGTGGTGGTAGAAAGCTAGGGAATCTTCAACCAATAAAAAAGACTAATTTTGTTTATCTTATAATGTGAAAAAGAGAACTTTTTTTAAACAAGAAGATACTCATTACTTCCAAGAAAGTTCTAAGTTTCTAACTCATTTCAATCTCTCTCTCTTTTATTTTTTATTTTTACCAACTTATCAAATCTTGCCTATGAGTATAGTTTAATAAATTAAGACATTTATGTCGAATTAGAAAGCCATGAACCCACCTTCACATCTTGTACCCGAAAAGAAAGGAAAAAAGAGGGGAAAAAAACTCCGCCATTCTCCTTTCCTTTTCTTAGTAATGGCTTCATATAAAAACCAAAAGTTATTTGAATAATTTGAAAAGTTAAATTCTACGATATGACGTTTTATTCTAATATATAACATGTAATTGACGAATTAGAATAACTTTTTTTTTTCCTTTTAGGAATCCTAGTTCAATAAAAAGGTTGAAAATATAAAAACATTGAAATTTCTACCAGTTCGTAGAATTAAAACTCTAAAAACAATTTTCCTCTGTAAGCGGTTGAGTAACAAGAACAAGCTCTGTGTTATCACATATACGCTCTGATACCATAACAGAGTGTGAATGTGATAATATTCTCACTAACCCATCAAAAGAAAAATACAAAAATCTCTAAATATACATGACGAGATATAAAGCAAATTAAATAACTGACTGTACATAAAGATCTGGAAGTTATAACCAATCTGTACGTAAATATCCTAAAAAAAAGAAAAACAAATCTGCCAGATCTAGAAAACATATCCGTCAAACAAATATATAACTAAAAAAACGTGAAAGAAATTTCCAAATCCAATAATGATCTAGAGGCAAATAAAAAGGATATTAGTTTGAAGGTGAAAGTGAAAATAGAGTCCCACGTCTGGATTGATTGTAACCTAACCCAGCTAAGTAAAAGACACGACTATCCCGTGTGGTGCGACTAACATAAGACAACGCCAACACCAGAGGCAGAGGCCGAGGCCGACGAGGAAACTGGAATTTGCTTACACCCTACGCAACTATTTTCTTGGAGGCCAAGGCAGGACCACCTCTATAAAATCCCCCTTCTTCGTCTTCTTCTTCCCCATTCCCGGCCATTTCCCATTCTCCGAGATGTTGAATTTCAAAGAGATGCCGATTCCCCAATCGGCGTCCGCCGCGTTCTCCGCCTACGCCTCCTTCGCCACTACCATGATGCTCGTCCGCTCGGTAACCAACGAGCTCCTCCCTCCAAAGTTCATCTCCTTCCTCTCTTCAATTTTCTTCTACTTCTTCGGATCCGTTTCTTCCCAGACCAAGTTTGTGATCGAGGAGAGCTCCGGGTTCACCTTCAATCAGGTGTTTCAGGCCGCCGAGGTCTATCTCCGCACCAAAATCAGCCCTTCCACCGACACCCTCAAAGTCAGCAAGACTCCAAGGCAGAAGAAAGTCACGCTCTCCATCGACAAGGACCAAGAAATCACCGATTACTTTGAGAATTTTCGCCTCCAGTGGCGGTTCGTCTGCTCCCAAGACGAGCGCAACGGAAATTCCAGAGAGAAGCGCCATTTCGAGCTTATATTCCCCAAGAAGTTCAGGGACAGAGTTGTTGACTTCTACTTGCCTTACGTCTTGAGAAGAGCCAAGGAGATTAAAGAGGAGGATAAAGTTGTTAAGATCTACAGCCAAGAATGTCAATTTGATGACGACGGCGGCGGCGGAAATTGGGGATCCATAAATCTGGACCATCCAGCCACGTTTGATACCGTGGCCATGGAGCCCGAGTTGAAGCAATTCATAATCGACGATTTGGATAGGTTTGTAAGGAGGAGAGATTTCTATAAAAAGGTAGGGAAGGCTTGGAAGAGGGGATATTTGTTGTATGGCCCCCCTGGTACGGGCAAATCAAGCTTGATCGCCGCCATGGCTAACTACCTCAAGTTTGATATTTACGATTTGGATCTCTCCAACATTTACAGCAATGCTGATTTGAGGAGAGTGATGTTAGCCACCACAAATCGCTCGATTTTGGTGATTGAGGATATAGATTGCAGCGTGGATATACAGAATC